AAAAAAAGAAAAAACATATATATATATATATATATATATATATATATATATATAATTGACAATTTGAGTGTTTTAACATTGTATCAGAACATGTTTAACTGAGACATGATAGATGGTGGCCTGTAAGACAGGTTAAAAAGAGAATAGAGATTCTTTCTGGAATAGGTAGCTCAGGATTGTCATTTGATTATTTAGAAATATGGGAGAGGACAGGGTTGATAGTGAAATATCAGTTCAGGTGGTGGTTTGAGAATTAAACATATCATCAGGTGGAACAACTGGATGGATTACAAATACAGGCAGAGTCACATAAGGATAGAGATTATCAATTGATATTGATAAGAAGTCAGCCTTTAGCCAGGCATTGGTGGCACACACCTTTAATCCCAGCGCTTGGGAGGCAGAGGCAGAGGCAGGTAGATTTCTGTGAGTTCAAGACCAGCCTGGTCTACAAGAGCTAGTTCCAGGACAGTCTCCAAAGCCACAGAGAAAACAAAAAACAAAAAAGAAAAAAGAAAAAAGAAAAAAGAAGAAGTCAGCATTTTCATTGGTGAGAGAAGGCCACCGAAAGGTTTCAGCCAAAGAAGTGACAGAAGAACTGATGTGTTGGTACCCACAATGGCTGTGTGCCAACCCAAAGGAAGAATTCATATAATTCTTCTAGCTGTGTGGAGAATGGATTTTGAGTTAGGCAGGTGTAGAAACAGAAACACGAACACAAGAAGTGTCTGTGGAATTTTCCAGAACAAAATATCATGAGAATGTAAAACCCAGTAGAAATAATGTGGATAGAATCTAGATATAGTTACTAATGCAAATCAAGTGTTTGACACTATATTCAGAGGAAAGCTGCCTTGGCTTGGGATTTTAGAAGCAGACCCTGAGATGAAAATGCAATTGGTAGCAGTTTAATTTGGAAAGGAAGAAAATGCCATCAGGAAAATAAGGAAATAAAGCAAGGAAGATATTTCAGTGAATAAAGGGCATATTTTCATGCAAATTACCACTGTGGGCAACTGGCACTTAATCCTGCTGAGAAACTTTAGAAGACAGTAGAGAACATATGCTTTATAACTATGTTAACAGACACATAAAATGCATTCCACCCAAGGAGAGTGGATGGAGGATATTTATAAACCAGTTGCCATCAGCCACTGGTCAAAAGCAGGGACTATTAATCATTTGGTCCTCCTACTTGCTATGTATGGAGATGCAGATACAATCGACAGCAAGTCAGACTGGCAAATATGGAGATGCTCAAGACCATAGGAATGAAACAGGGTAACCATATATTCTGACAAACTTGATTTAAAAATAGACCACCCCAGGACATGTGTTAGTTGATAATTGCACTGATAGAGACGATAAATGGCTGATAGACTTAGAAAGAAAAACAGAATTTGTTCCTGGGCATGTTAGATTTGAGGATCCAATAGTTTATTTTGGTGTTAAACCTCAACAAAGTGACATGGACTTGCAAATAAGGTTTAGAAGTCAGCAACAGCATATACAGAATATTCATGTAGACAATTGAGAACTCTTATATAGATTGTATAGTGATAATGGTGGAATAAGAGAAGAATATTTGAGATTGTCACCATTTCAGGGTAATGCCAAAAAGAGACAATAAGAGATCAAGCAAAATGAAGTTAACAATTTTGAATGTAGACAACAGTGGCAATAGATTTTTCCTCTCTAGTTGTGGAGATTGGCAGTGGTTAAGTCTTTAGTGACTGACAAAGTCTATGGGATCCTGTGCTGTATTTTCAACTTGACACAAACCTAGACATAGCTGGAAAGAGGGAATAATAATTGAGCAAAATGGCTCCCTCCATAGCACTGGCATGAAGTATGTATCTTGTGGGGGGAAAGGTTGTAAAAACAAAAGACAAAGCAATAAGAGAAGTCACAAAAGAGAGAAAAGAAGACAGGCTTAGAGAGAGAGGAAACTGTGAGGGTAAACGCATGAGAAAGTTAAAGATATATTTGGAATAACATTTCTGCTTCCTTTGTATAAGACAATGTGGGGAGGAGAGGAAGGGGTGCTTTTTTTGCTAAGAAAAAATATGTTAAAGCAGCATTATTCTGGTGACACCTTCTGGTTTCTCTAAATAAGAAAATTTCATAAAATAAGTATAAGTCCATGTTTGTGGAGTATCTCTGTAGTACCAGTACTTGGGAGGGATAGGCAGTAGGATCCAGCTACCTGAGAGCTTGTTGCAAAAAGCAAAAGGAAAATAAAACACTTTACAGCAACACACATGAAATGGTTGTATAAATAAAACTGGAACAATAGAAACAGCAAGTGACATATATATGTGGAAGAAAGAAAATGTTGTGAGTCTCTAGATAAAACAAAACAACTGCAACAAAACCAGTCAACTAATGAATATTGAGAGAAGAAGAGGGATGATCCAGGAAAGACCCCCTTCCTTTATTGGTTATCCAGTGCAGAGTGGTCAGTCTTGAAGCTACAAACAACCAAACAACAACAAAAAGAATCATCAGAATTTATTTATCTCTATCCTTTCATGCACAGGGATGCATCCACAGACACACACTCAAACACACATGTACACATATACACACATACATACATATATGTGTAAGTAATGATAATAATAAAAGAACAAGGCTATCATCTTGAGTATGAATGTCCATGGGAGGGTTTAAAAGAGAGTACCTGGGACTGGATAGAAAGAGGAAATGGAGAGAGGAAGTAATGTAATTCTGTTTTAATTATGAACATATTTTTTAATGTGACTTCCCCAAATTGGAGTAATATATTCCCAAAATGATACATGATATCCCTTCCCAGAATTCTAACTCCTGTCTTGGTATTTACCCACAATACAAGTACTCTTTAGAACCATAGATTTCTTCTGTCTGTGCATGCTTGAAATTGTTATAATTTGGTAAGACGATACACAACTTTTGGATTATCTGCTCCTTATTTTACTTTTAAGATTAAACTATGTTTTGTCATTTGTCATTATTCTGCTATATTTCATCATGTAGTGTTCTTTTTCTGTTCCTTCAATTGTGGATGTATATCTGAGTTATTGAGAGTTATACATTGCAATGAGTAGATTTCCTATGAAAATTTTAATACATATATTTTGATTAAACCTTGTATGCATTGGATGGAAATGGGCTGGGAGGAAGATCTTAGGAGGGAAGTATAGGAAAACTAGAGTGACTCAGGGTCCATGCCATCTCTGGAGATAAGTCCTAGTGGTGATGGGCTTGGAGGAGAAGCTGAAGCAGTGGTTGCAGAAGATCTATGGGTATCCTAGGGAGAGCATAATGGATGAGGGAAAACAGGGCACACGTAGTCTATCTAGCTGCCTTACCAAGTGTGATAACTCTGGTTTCTCTGGAGGACAAGTGACAATTACTCAAGTTCTTTGCTGCTGTAGTCATCATATTCAAACCTAAAAGACAGCCAATATATCCAACAACTGATAAACAGATAATGAAAATTTGGTACATTTACAGACTAGAATATTATTAAATTCCTAAGAACAATGAAAGTTTATGTAAATTAAGGGAGCTACCAATAGACATCCTGATTTAGGTAACCCAGTACCAGAAACACAGACATTGTGTTATTTCTCTTACATGTAGTCATTAACTTTTAAGCTTTAGTTGTATGTGTTTCAATCTAAATATCCTCATATATCAGTGAGCTTGTAAGGGATTACAGGGGAGGAAGGGCTCTTACAAGGAAGGGGAAATAGAATACAGTGTTATAAGAGGATAAAGGGGAATTAGAAGAAGAGGGTTAAAGCAGGTAGGAAGTAGTAGAAAAGGAGAGAGTGGGGAATATGGGAAGCGACAACTAACAATAAAGACCTAATTAGAGGTCTACTGCTATAGAAGTTTGCTAAAATATTATATATACAAAAGGAATTTAAAGTAAGTCACCATATAATAGAAGGAACTATGCCCAAAAGAGGCATTATGTGCCATGAAAAAAGCCTACAAAATGAAATGTATTTTATCTTTTTGAGTTGTGGGCCAAAGGGCTCTTTAAGGGTTTTCTATTTCTATGATAAAACTGTGATCAAGAAAAGCTTAGGGAAGACAAGGTATATTTCGCTTTCACATCCTGGACCCCAGCATATTGAGGAAAACCAAGTTATCAGAAGCTCAAGGGAACAACTTAGAGACAGGAGCCTGCAGGAAGAGCCAGGAGTATGTTTTATGGAGGGGTTCTGCTTACTGGGTTGCTTCCTGTGACTTTCTCAGACTGCCTTCTTATACAACCAAGGACTACCTGCCCATGGATAGTAGCATCAAAGTTATCTACAACCTCCACATCAATTATTAACCAAAAAATGCCTTATATGCCTACAGGCTGGTGCTATGGAGGGAGCTATTTTGCTCAATTATTGTTTCCTCTTTTCAGCCATATCTTGGTTTATGTCAAGTTGAAAATCCACCACAGAATCCTGTAGATTTTGCCAGTCACCAAACACTCTTTACCAATGCTAACCTCCACACCTAGAGAGTAAAAATCTATTGCAGAAGACATCAAATACTTATGGTATAGAAACATGGGAAAATCTGGCTTATACTCACCATTACTGATGAGATTTCATTTTCTTAAATGTTGCTATGCACTATATATACATGAGGAGAAAAAGAAGCACTAGGTGTACCCATCTACAAAGTCTGGAAGCTATAATGATGACCTGCCTTGCCTATAAGATATTCTCATTGGTGCAATAGTGGTATGAATGGTAGGGGAATAACCACCTGTTTTTGTTTGTTTGTTTATTTTTCATTTTTTTTAAATTTAAGGTCCACTTAATGAGGTAGAACTCATAGTATAGTTGATATTTTTAGTGATGCCAAAAAAATGAGATTACAATGATTGTGTATCTAGGGAGAACCTACTAATCTTAGATATACTATTATGTATCTTTCTTGTATGTGAACAGAATAATAAAAAGATTCCTAACAATATGCTCTATAAGATAGATCACTACATCATTCAACCCTAAGCCAAGAAGCGTCTTCTGGCAGTAGATGGTACTTAACACAGAGACCCACAATTGATCAAGATGCAGACTGACAAACTTTGAAGTGTTCAAGTGAATAAAATGTCTTTATCACATTGCTCCCATAGTTAAGGGATCTATATGGAAGATGAATAAAAAAGATAGTAAGAGCCAGAGGTAGTGAAACATTTTAAAGAAACATCATTTTCAGACACAAAAGTGAAGATATAATAGGAGCTCATAGAGACAATGACATAATGCTCAAGACTTGCTGCAAAAGCTCAAGTCAGACAAAACATCCCAGCATGAATGAGCTGAATGCAGACAAATCCCACAAATAGCCAAGAAGCTATTCATAAATGGTAATTGTTAGGAAAGGGAAAATCATTTCTTTTTAGTAGAGTAATACTGGTCTTATTAAACACATACCAAGGCAGCCCCCATGTTTAGGAAGAGATGCCCAGAACAAATTGTACTCTATGCTTTTACTGACTTACTTCTTTTGCATTGTTTTTTTTTTTTTTTAAGAAGGCAAAAAACATGAAGTTTCAGTGGTGAGACAGGTGTAGGGAAGAGTATCATGGAGGATTTGGAGGTTGGGAAAATATGAAGAAAATACTATAAGGAAGTTTCAAAAATAAATATGCAAACAAGCAAGACAACAAGAACAATAACATCAACAAAGACTTGCCATTGATGAGTTTACAGTTGAAAGGTCAGCAAACTGTACACTATTGAACCGATTATACCAGCTTATATTGTCATAGATTAGAGTTGTCACTGCTGTGTGTTGCTGTCAGCACTATAAATATTTTCATCTTAGTTATTATCATAATTCTTTTATGGTGTTAGCATGTAGCTTTATTTCTCTAAAAATTAGACAATCTAAGCCCATTTTAGATTTTACTTGCACTGGACTACCCTATGTAAGCACTCATTTACACACCATGTACATACATACATACATACACCATACATACATACACATATACATAGTTTAAAAAGGGAAATTGGACTCATAAAAATAAAGAACTTGAATATGTATTCAGCACAACAGTCATCATTAATTTCCTCCCAGGTGAATAGTCATGGGTCTTTCTCATCCTAAGATATTACAGATACATGCCTATATTCTGAGAAAGATGCCTTGCTGAAGCTAGAGTGGAAAATAAAACTGTCAACAGTGAAATTGTATTCTTATTCTTTTTGTAATTTATTGATTGACAATTTTCTAACATTAAATGTATTGATGTGGTTAAAATTAACATCAAAATTTAATATACCATAACTACTTAGTTATCAAAATGAATTTAAGTGGTTAAAATTAACATCAAAATTTAATATACCATAACTACTTAGTTATCCATGCTCTAAATAAAACCTATAATAGAACAACCTTGGAATTCTTAGTTTTTTTCTAAGTAGGTTTGCAGTAATTTTCAGTATTGGATTATGTAGACTATGGAAGACAGGCATATTAGGTGGTTCATTGAGCTTCTTGGAGGTTAGGCATGATTAGCAGAATGGGAAGTACTCTGTCACTATCTCAAAAAACCTGTATTGATCAGGAGAACTGAACACATTTTTTGTTCTGCCTATCTGAAATGGGATTCTGGTAACTCACCGAGAAGAGAGGAAGTTGAAAATATGAGGTTTGTGATCAATTTTCCTTATCATAGAGTAGAAGAATCCTAGGATGTAATTTGGACCCTGATGTGTAATTCAAAATTTACCTTTATTACTTTAAAAAAATATGATCACTAACTAGGCCCACTAGTGTACTTACCCCCCCTCTTTATCAGCTCCCTTATGCTTACTGTGTGATAAATTTACAAAACATATTTTACTAAATTTTCAATATGATCTTATATGAGAGTAGTTGTATCCAGGACTGGGGAGATGGTTCAGTGTATGAAGTGCTTAACATTCAAGCATGAGGATCTGAGTTACACCCCCTGTTAAACAAAATTTCAGGCATGCTGGAATGCACTTGTAATCCCAGTGCTGAGGATGTTGAAACTCGAGAAAGTTGAAGCTTGCTGTCCAGGCATCCTATTCAATTTGGCATCCTTCTGGCCAGTGATAGACTCTACCTCAAAGGATGTATATAGTGTTCGTGAAGTTAATAACTAAAGTTGTCCCTGATTTTCACACACATGAGCACACACCAATCATACATATACACATGCATGCCAAAACAGTAAGTGACATTTAATACATCTTTGTATAAGAGTGAGACAAACAGTGGGAAAGTGACAAACTAGTTCCCATCCTCCCACGTTTCACTTTCTGCAGTTCCTGTTACCTATGCTCCATTATCAATAATGTTCAATAAGATAGTGTTTCTGAGTTGGTGCATATGCTTGAGCAAGAGTTTAAGAGCATATTCATATTATTTTTATAGTGTTGTTATAATTACTTTATTATATTATTACTATTGAGTTGCATGTTTAATTTTCTTCAATGTCTTATTCATACATTAAACTTCATCATAGGTAGGTATGCAGAAGGAAACCACCATCTGTAGGGGTAGTTTAGATTGTGTTGCAAGGAAGGCAGAAATGTCAGATAAGGAGGAACTTGGAAAGAAAATGAAAACTGCCAACAGTGAATAAAAATAAACAAAACTAAGGATAGCAGCCATTAGCCTGTAAAATAAAGAAAGCTCAAAGTGGGGACTAGGGAGGCAGAGAGAGAGAGAGAAAGGAAAGACAGTGATTTCTGTCACTCAGAACAGGGCAATCCTTGGTTCAGGTGGGCAACTACCCGGGGCCTTGCATTTTATGTATGCTAATTCAGCTTAAAATGGTCAGGAAGAACTCTTCTTCCCTTTGGGATCATTTCAAAAGCCCCAAGGCCACTGTAGGAAAGTGGAGGAGAAGGCATTATACCTTATGAGTTAAGATTAGGATTATAGCTAGAAGGCGGGGTGTTGTAAATAGATCCTCATTAGCAGAGGCAGGCTTGGTGCCTGATTAATTATGGAGCACTTGATAACATCCTGAAGTCATGAAAATCAGGAGGAAAGGTACAGATAATTGAATGGAATTGAAGAACTGGCAATGTTGAGAGCATCGTTAACATATTTTTGCTGTTGTTGTTCTTGTTGACATCTGCCCTTATCACAACTGACTCTGGGTTTCAACAGCTGCATGCTTTGGTAGGAGAGGAAGTGATAAGGAAGGAGAATGGCAAGGGATAACCCTTGTCCTTAATAGAAGTCTAGTGTTCATGGGATGTGCCTCTTTCCTTATGCCACTGAAGTATTCCATGTCTTCATCTCTTTCCTTTAAGAAGCATCTCAGCATCCTATTGCCATAGAAGACACTGGTGTAACAGGGAGTCTTGGGATGTCATTTTCTTTCTTTTTGTTTAGAAAGCTAATGCAGGCCACAGTTGTCCATGTGATGCTCTCCCTGATGGCTTAC